CCACATTCCTGCTGAAAAAAAAAGCTTTTGGTATATACACAGTTTCATGGATCCAAGGTGGACTAAAATAACTATGTATAAAATATCCATAACTGGGATTCATCTTAAATGATATTTGCATAAGTGCTGCTAGATTGCTGAGTTAGTACTTCTTCAGTGTTGTTACCTTAGAAAAGCTTTAGGTTAGGTCAGGCTTGCTTTCATGTTCCCTGAAGTGGAGACTGATGAAAATGGTCCTGTGTAGTCAGACAACAGACATTGAATGGTGATATTATAACGGTGCTATATTACAGTATGCGCATTTGATCACTGAAGCCTGTTCAGTGCTGCGTTGCTGAGAATTTTGCAGTACCAACACACCAGTTGCTGTCGATCATGTTTTTTTTTTTTTCTATTTCAAGAAACGTACATGGAAGATACATTTATTATTTTGGGTTCCGGTGACAGGACACAAAATCCTCTTGCAATCCTCCAAGGGATTCCATCAATGGACTGTTCATAAAAAAAGATTGTATCACCTGCAACTTGACAGCTTATTTTAACAATGAAATATGTCTCTAGTCTACAGAGCTGCCACACGCACAATAGGAACTTTCCTGAAAGGCCATCATATCGTCTGTTCTCTAGTTTCTTCCGTCGTTTCATTATAACTGCTAACAATGAGGAGGACAGCCAGTCAGCTTCTGCTATACAAAAGTCTTTCACTGTTTCCTGCACTGACAATCTCTCAAGCTGTAGCAGTCATAATGCTTGTCCTGCTTTAGAACATCTGGTAGGGCTGGTAAATAAAATGGATTATCGGCCTGCATTCATTAAAATGATGCAGGCCTTAATGATGTGTTACTGTCTGGATATACAGTATGACAAATGGTGATTATTATTGTACTGGCTGATTAATTGCAAAGGCCTGCAGATGTTAAAAGGAGTATTATACCATAATGCTCTGCTCGATGGATTTCTATAGAAACCTTAGTTTCTGGGATTATTGTGTAAAGACCAACTCTGTGACAAGTTTTTTTATTTTTTTAAAAAGGCTGCAGAGGCAAGGTTGTTCAGGCAGCAATGTTCACCTTCAATCTAGATCTGTCCTCTGCAGTACCCTCTTCTTCACCACAAGATGTCCTCAGTCTTCTGGCTAGAATGGCACTCTGGTCTGAAAGAGCGAGCTTAACCTGAGTGCATGGCACCACCCCTGAGGAAGCATTACTACAGAATCCTTCATTCACAATGTATTGGAGCAGAGAGGTGAGCAGATGTCATCATGCCAACACCACCAATAAGAGAGGTGTTCTGATGCTCTAACACACTTCCTGTTCAACTCTTTGCCTCCAAAATACAAAACAGTGAGCAAGCATTGTCACCTTAGGACAAAAAGAGTGTTCCAGCCTGGATCACCTGGTGAAAATAACGGGAAAAAAAGCCTGAAATGAGGAAACATCTAAAAAATGATGAGCTGCAATACATTACATATTTGTTCTTTGGTTCAGATACACTTTACAGCCTAGGTATAGTCAAAATCTAAAAAAAAAAGCACAAGAGACTGCTTTACTATTATCAATGAGAAGTGTCCCTTGTGTTGCTGGTTGTGATTTAAGTTAAGAAATCATCTGTCCTCTAATACCTCCTACCACCACAGCTGTAATCTTCCGGTGCAGCAGGGATTAATAGGGATCTCACCTTGCATCATGTGCCTTGGTTCTATCCGTCAACCTTTTCATCACTAAAGGACCCAGGACCGATGGATAGAATATGGAACCACAGTAAATGGTGGGCCACACAGGCCCCTGACACTCCTTGAAGTGTCAAATGCTGAAGGGTACTACATGGATGCTGCAGAACTTGGATTGAGGGATAGTTCAATACAGGGGCGGACTGACCATTTGGAAACTCGGGCACTGCCCGAGGGCCCGGGGCCAGTAGGGGGCCCCATGAGATGCCCCTGGTACCTTTTTCATAGGCTTTTTTGAGTTTGGGCAAGGACACAGGGACCCCATGATCCCCTATTGCCCGGGGGCCCCATGAGTTGTCAGTCTGCCCCTGGCTCAATAGTAGGTGTTTTTGGTGGAGCGCTAGACCTGAAAAAGGGTAACAATTTAGATCTGAGTTTTAAATGCAATTCTTTGTCAGCCAAAGTATCCCAGGGGATCGCTGGAATAGTCAAGTAAATGTAGACAGTATGACAGCACCTCAGAAATTATGTAAATCCAGTAAATCTTTAGAAATCTTTATTTTGCACAAGTGGTCACAGAAGGAATCCAGTTTGTTCTGGGACTCAATCCTCCCCTTTCATCAAGGCTGAGGAACACAGAATGAAACAGCTTAAAAATATTTAGAAAATCACGTGATGTTGTGATGATAATCAAGGTTTACATGTTTTATGACATAAAAAATATATATATATACTGTATATATACTTTATTTATATGTATATATATAAACGCAGCATGATGAAGGTATTATCTTCATTATTTTTTTATGTGAATGAATATACGTACTAAGTATGTTTGGTGGTCCTCTTATTTGAGATTTTGATAAGCCTCCTGCCTGCAGACCCCCACAACCACATGGCCAGGGTTGTGGGAAAGAGGCCCAAAATGGGAACAGGGTGCTTTGCCATAAAAGTTCTCCCTGGCAAGGTACCCTTTCCAATGTTGAGGGCATGTGGCCCTATCTCCCCCTTTCCTGGCTTGCCAGGCTGTATGCTTGGTTATTAGTCTGGTATGGATTTGGGGGGGCACACTTGTTTTCTTTTTTGTGTGGTACCACACAAAGGACAGAAAGAAAAATAACAATACCAGAAAGAAAACAAATTAGAATAGAAAGTTGCCTCTAAAAGACAAAAAAAACAAACAAGAAAAAAAAGCATCCCCACCACCGAAATTCAGATGAGCCCTTATCCATTATCATTATGCTGTCATATCTCAGTATGCTTTTAGATTATCTGTATTTTTATCACTCTTTGTGAGGATAATACCAACATCATGCTGTGTTTATATACAGTTGTGTTCAAAATAATAGCAGTGTGTTGAAAAAAGTGAATAAAGCTCAAAATCCTTCTAATAGCTTTTCTTTCCATACACACAAATGCATTGGGAACACTACACATTCTATTCCAAATCAAACATGAAGAAAAAATATATCAAATTTGTGTTGTTCCTCTAAAAAAATTGAAGAAAAGTGAATATTAGACTGTTCAAAAAAATAGCAGTGTTTGTATTCTTCTTTACAAACTCAAACATTCACTATATAAACTGAAAAATGTTTGAAGATTTTGCTTTCCTTTGAATTAATTAATATTTAGTTGTATAAGCACTGTTTCTGAGAACTGCTGTACATCTGTGTTGCATGGAGTCAACCAACTTCTGGCACCTGAAAACAGGTATTCCAGCCCAGGATGATTGGACTACATTCGACAGTTCTTCTCTATTTCTTGGTTTTGCCTCAGAAACTGCATTTTGATGTCACCTCACAAGTTTTCTATTGGATTAAGATCCAGGGATTGGGCTGGCCACTCCATAACATCAATACTGTTGGTCTGGAACCAAGATGTTGCACATTTACTGGTGTGTTTGGGGTCGTTGTCTTGTTGGAACACCCATTTCAAGGGCATTTCCTCTTCAGCATAAGGCAGCATGACCTCTTCAAGTATTCTGATGTATTCAAACTGATCCATGATCCCTGGTATGCGATAAATAGGCCCAACACCGTAGTATGAGAAACATCCCCATATCATGATGCTTGCGCAACCATGCTTCACTGTCTTCACAGTGTACTGTGGCTTGAATTCAGTGTTTGGGGGTCATCTGGCAAACTGTCTCCGGCCACTAGACCCAAAAAGGAACAATCTTACTTTCATCAGTCCACAAAATGTTGCGCCATTTCTCTTTAGGCCAGTCAATGTGCTCTTTGGCAAATTGTAACCTCTTCAGCAAGTCTTTTTTTCAACAGTGGGACTTTGCGGGGGCTTCTTGCAGATAGCTTGGCTTCACATAGGCGTCTTCTAATTGTAACAGTACTCACAGGTAACTTTAGACCTTCTTTGATTGTCCTGGAGCTGATTGTTGGCTGAGTCCTTGCCATTTTGGCTATTCTTCTATCCATTCGAATGGTAGTTTTTTCGCTTTCTTCCACGTCTTTCAGGTTTTGGTTGCCATTTTAAAGCATTTGCGATCATTTTAGCTGAGCAGCCTATCATTTTCTGCACTTCTTTATATGTTTTCCCCTCTCCAATCAACTTTTTAATCAAGGTACGCTGTTCTTCTGAACAATGTCTGGAACAACCCATTTTCCTCAGAATTTCAGAGAGAAATGCACTGTAACCAGCATGTACAACATTTGCTGCCTTCCTTCCTTAAATAAGGGCAATAATTGCCACCTGTTTTTCAAAGAATGAATGACCTCACTAATAGAACTCCACACTGCTATTATTTTGAACATGCCCCTTTCAATTAGTGATTCAATTACACAGAATCAGCAGCATGCATGTCATGACTGTTGGGTCTGTTGGATTTCTATTACTCTACTACACCTGCTAGTAAATTATTTGCCATGTAGAAATATCATTTCTACCAAAAACAGTGATTGATCCGGTTAGTGATGTCTGACTGCTATTATTTTGAACACAACTGTATGTATTTTTTTTTCTCCTTACATTTCTTTAATTTACTCAATAGACAGACATCTCTTCAAACTTAATGGTCTCACAAGCCTAAAGCTAATAGTGGTGTAACCCCTCCAGGCCATTAAGAGTTCCAAAAACCGGGAGGCTGTGGCGGGCATTTTTTGTAAACCTATACTTGTTACAAACCTGTATGCTTTATCACTTGTATTAAATTCTAATGTCCCCTCTTCTTCCATTTTTATAAATTTTCTTAGGTGAAAAGTCAGAGTTCTCTTTTAATATGTATTAGTGTGAAGATGGGAGATGTAAGTAATGGTTTGTGATCTCTGTATGTTGCACAGGAACGCTGGACATGAAACAGAAGCTATGTAAATTCTGAATGATGGAGTGTTCATGGAAAGTCCTTGTCTTGCTAGTTTTTACATCGTTGGGCATTCAATACACAGCCATCAAGTCTCTCAGGACAACCATGATGTCATCGTGTACCAATCCGATGGCAGAGAACCGATGTGGCCACTTAAAAGGTGAGAAGACCACTTTGCATCTTGCCTTGACAAGTCAGCGTTGCAGTGGGGTGAACATACCATTCTAAAGGGTTTGTGACACAGTGATTGGTCAAAAACATAGGGAAGTGATGGCGAACCTTTTTGAGCCCGAGTGCCCAAACTGCAACACAAAACCAACTTATTTATTTCAAAGTGCCAACACTGCAGTTAAACCTGAATACTGAGGCTTTAGTTTTGAAAAAACAACTCATACAGTTGTCTGAACTAATTAATATATTTTTCTACATGTGCATGTATTTTTCCAAATGACTGTCCAGGCCTCTTGGAATGATCTTCCACTATCTGTTTTCAGTTGTGCTTTTTTTTGCTGTGCTCATTTTTTTAGTGTTCAACACTTGTAGTCTAGAAAAACACAAAAATAACAAAAATTATTTACTAACCCCACCCATATAAGATATGTCTGTAAATGTTCTCAAAATATGGCTATATACAAGTCTGTGTAAGAGCAACTTACATTTTTGTAGACAGATATAGGCATTGCCATAGTCCAACGTCTTGTGGAACAAGGCGAACTGTGCCCGGGTAAGAAACCCTCATGGGTCTGGAAGCTGGCTGTGTGTGTGAAGGATCCAGAAGAGAGGGCTGGAATGCTCAGCAGCCAGGTGTCAGGCATGATGACGTCACTGGACGAGCTGCGACTCGGTGCCGAGCGTGCGCATTGGCGATGGCTGCCGGGGGGTAGCGATCTACTCGAGTGCCCACAGAGAGGACTCTGTGTGCCAGCTGTGGCACGTGTGCCATAGGTTCGCCATTGCTTATATAGAGTATTAAAGTATATTTAACCACTTGACCTCTGGAAGGTTTCACTCCCTTCATGACCAGGGCATTATTTTGCTATTCGGCACTGTGCTACTTTAACTGGCAATTGCTTGGTCATGCAGCATTGTACCCAAATTAAATTTAGGTAATTTTTTTCACACCAATAGAGCTTTCTTTTGGTGGTATTTGATCACCATTGTTTTTTTTGTTTTTTTTATTATATAAGAGAACACATTTTTTTTTAAAAACCCAAAACAATATTTTCTACTTTTCTGTTATAAGTCATATCCAATAATAAAATAAGAAAAAACTAATTTCTTCATAAATTTGGGTCAAAATGTATTCTGCTACATGTCTTTAGTAAAAAAAATAAAAAAACATTAAGTGTATAATAATTGGTTTGTGTGAAATTTATAGTGTCTAAAGTATGGTATATATACTGAAATTTATTCTCCTCCCCCAGCTCTTTGGTTCTCTTCCTCCCCCCAGGCTCTCTCTCCCCAGTTCTGGCTCTCACCCCACTTCCATTCTCTCACTCTCCCCCTGGCTCTCTCTCTTCCCCCTCTGGTTCTCTCGCTTTCCCCCTCTCTCTCTCTTCCCCCTCTGATTCTCTCACTCTCCCCTGGCTCTCTCTTTTTCCCCTCTGGTTCTCTCGCTCTCTCCTCTCCCAGGCTTTTTGGCTCTATCTCCCCACCTCTGGCTCTCCCCTCCCCTCCCTCTAGCTCTCTTCTCTCTCTCTCTCTCTTCCCTCTGATTCTTTCGCTCTCCCCTCCCCCCACTGGCTCTCTCCTCCCACTTCTCTTGCTCTCCCCCTGGCTCTCTCTCTTCCCCCTCTGGTTCTCTCGCTCTCCCCCTGGCTCTCTCTCTTTCCCCTCTGGTTCTCTCGCTCTCCCCCTGGCTCCCTCTCTTTCCCCTCTGGTTCTCTCGCTTTCTCCTTCCCTGGCTTTTTGGCTCTATCTCCCCATCTCTGGCTCTCCCCTCCCTTTAGCTCTTTCACTCTCTCTCCTCCCTCTAATTCTTTCGCTCTGCCCTCCCCCTACTGGCTCTCCCCCGCCCTTTTTCTCTCTCTCACCACCACTGATTCTCAGTCTCTCGCCCCCACCCACCCCCCCCCCCCCGCTCTCTCTCCCCCAGCTCTTTCCCTCCTCTGGCTTTCTTGCTTTCCCTTCCCCCTGCTCTCTCAACATCTCTTTCCCCCTCAGGTTCTCTCGCTGTCTCCCCACCCCGGCTCTCTCTCCCCAGTTCTGACTCTGTCCCCACCTCTGGCTCTCTCCCCTCCCCCCAGCTCCTTCTCCCCACCTTTGACTCTCTGGCTCTCTCTCCTCGCCTTTGGCTCTCTCTCTTCCCCTCTGGCTTTTCTGGCTCTCTCCCCCTGCTTTCTTTCCCTTCCACCCTGGCTCTCTCCCTCTCTACCCCTCTGGCTCTCTCGCTTTCTCTCCCTCCAGCTTTCTCGCTAACCCCCCTCACTCTCTCCCACCTCTGGTTCTTTTGCTCTCTTTCTTCTGGCTCCCGCCCTCTCAGGTTCCTTAACTGTCCCCCTGGCTCTCTCTTCCCCCCCTCTGATTTCTCTCGCTCCCCCCCTGGCATTCTGACTCTCTCCTCCCTCAGCTCTTCCCCTCTCTGACTCTCTCAGTCTCTCCTCCCTCCTGTTCTCTCTCCCCACCTCAGAGTGGCTTTTTCTACTCTCCTCTCGCTTTCTGTCTCCCCCTGGCTCTCTCCCCGCCCCCCGCTCTCCCCCCCTCTGGTTCTCTCGCCCCCGCCGACATTCTGGTTCTCTCCCCTCTACCCTCAGCTCTTCCCCTCTCTGACTCTCTCAGTCTCTCCTCCCCACCCCCGTTCTCTCTCCCCACCTCTGAGTGGCTTTTTCTTCCCTCCTCTGGCTTTCTCTCTCCACATCTGGATCTGTCCCCCCCCCCCCCCCCATCTGGCCCCAAGCGACAATTAGCTCACATTCCTACATCCTGTGGACAGCTGGGACTAATATTGTTTTTTAATATTTACATACTGTACATACATTTATATATAGGACTTTTTTTCTTTTGAATATTTTCCCATTGCAGTTCCTCTCTTTTCCCAAGTGTTGTTGTTATCTCTACAGATCATTACCATTTTATAAGCTCTGCCCGACACATCATCCTGGCACCCAGCACACCTACTCCCACAAACAATTGTACAGGCATCAATTTGACACATCTGATTGATATCTGCAGTATTGCTCCTGCCGTGTCCACTTGTGATAGTAATGCTTTATTCCTGTTTAAGCAGTTAGTGTTCTGAACAGTCGCAGTGGCTGTCAGCAGTTTGGGATGCTATCTTACTGCTGTCACAGATACTCATACACACTGATGTATCAAAGATGTGTGTAAACAACTGGAGATGGGCCCATTCTGCTGAAATTGCTACCTTTGCAAAAAAAGAAAATAGACCTAATGACCAAACGCTGTATTGTGCCTAGATGATGCATAGTGCTTGTTAGACAGATAGGGAAATAAAAATGACAGCTTGTTTTTAGTTCAAAGTTACAAGGCTTCTCAAAGTAGTAAAAAAGCAATAATAAACTGCAGCGGAGCCGCTTACCTGCCAAGTTAAAACACATACTGTATGTAGAAACTGTTTTATCTGCCAAAGATCTGTAAATGAAGGCACATAAATACCCATACCTTCTGTGCTATACAGTATGTATATAAATCAATAGATACAACGCTTAACAGATATGTAAAAAATCACACATCAAAATGCTAAAGCAGAACACCAGGGGACACACAAATCAACCTCTGCAGTGGGCTCCCCTTTAATACTTGTTTTGTCCAGGAGTAGAGGGAGAAGCAGAAACAAGGCATTTTTGTGTATTCCTCTGCCATTAGACAAAATTAGCATTTCACTTAACCCTTGGAGTTCCCCTTTAACCCTGTACTCCAGGCAAAAAGTTTAAAGCAGTATTAAACCCAAAACAAAAAAAATTAGATGCGGGGGATGCATTATTTTCCTTTTTTGTTCTCTTTTTTGTTTTTTCCCTCTATTTTTAGCTGGTGATCTGGCCAGTAACACACCTCCTGTAATACACTCTGGATGGCGGAGCAACAGAGATACCTTTGGACAGCAGCATTGTTAATCTGAGGTGTATGGGGGGGAGAGGGAGTGTTACATGTACTAGCAGATTCAGATACACTAACAAATTGAGGTAGAACTCCAGCTTACATGTTTTAAGCATTTACAGTAACAGTTTTGTTCACACTGGGATGAAGATTTTACATAAATAAATAAAAGCTGACCATTGTAAGCACCTCTGTCAGTGGTCAATGGTGTGTCTCAATCCCCTGATTGCTACACCATCAGGACAGCTAGTTCTGTTGAAAAGCAACAAACTTACTGGCTGGATCCCCTGGTAAAAAAAAAAGAAAACAAAGCCTTAAACAAAATTAAGGCAGCCATCAGATATAAGAATTGGTAAGATGTAGTATAATAAATGGTTTGCTTTTGGGTTTAGTTTTACTTTAAAACATGAAAAATATGGGTAAGAGATCTGTCTACCAGCCAAAGGGTTTGTATACCTGTCCATCCAGTCCTGAGATTTACACAGCCCCATGACCCAGCACAACCAGGCAAATTATAAAATTTTTCTGTTACATTTATAGATTGATAGATGTAGATGGATACAAATGTATCCTTTCTTCACACCTAGCCTGCTGATTGGACAGTGAAGCAGCAGCAGACTGATCAGTTTTATTTTGCTCTGTCACTCTGTTCTCACCTCCTATCATCGTGTTGCCTGCCAGCACATTTGCATGCTGCACACCTGATTGGCTCCCATCCTGCCTCTCCCTATAAGGGGATTGATTTGAGGCTGATTATGAGTCAAACTCAGGTACTTAAAGCGGAGTTCCACTGAAAAAAAAAAAAAAAAAAGTTTTTGTAGCTGCCGACTTTTAAAATACAGCCAGTTACCTGTACCTCAGTCCAGCGGTGTCCTCACACTCACTGGTTGCACCAGCCATCTTCTCTCCCTGGCGCCAGCATCTTCAGTGTGGGCACCCATCTGTGACAGCTTGCAGTTTCACAGCCGGGGGCCCACTGAGCATGTGCGAGAAGCACTGCACTTTGTGAATGGCCCCATAGTCTTTTGGAACCTGTCACGTGTCCCAGAAGACTACAGGGAGGGAGGTGGGGGAGGATAACTTCCACTTCCGATCGCCTAGGCGATCGCAGCGGAAGTGGGAGCGAGTACCTGTCAAATTCGGGTACCCCCTCCCCAGAGGTGCCAATCCTTAATGGGGAGCGGGGAACAAAGCATTAAAGTGAAACTTCCCCTTTTGGGTGGAGCTCCGATTTAACTTGCTTGCATTAGAAAGAAAATAAATAATGTATTATTGAATAATTGGTAAAACACGTCTAAATGCGAATGCAAAAATGCTAATAAATGCTGAAAAACATGCGTTCCTAACAGGGGCGGACTGACCATTTCGAGCACTCGGGCACTGCCCGAGGGCCCAGGGTCAGTAGGGGGCCCCATGAAATGCCCCTGGTACATTTTATAGGCTTTTTTTGAGTGTGGGCAAGGACATAGGGGCCCCATGATCCCCTATTGCCCGGGGGCCCCATGAGTTGTCAGTCGCCCCTGGTTCCTAACACTGCTTATACAGCTAAGACTACCAGAGTTTTTAAAATGCCCTGCGTGCATGAGGACTAACAATGAACTGCCTTTTTAAGTGGGGATGTGGTACTAACAATACACCACTAGGTGGTGATCAAGCTTATGTTTCTATCTTGTCTCCACTTTGAACTGTAATTAATGGAAGGTTGCTGCCATTCATTTATTGTATGGAATTTAGTTTATTTTCCAAGAGGACAGAAGGGGCATGATTGAAACCTTTAAATACATTTAAGCTTAGTTTACACTTGTGATGCTGGTGCGGGGGGGCATTAAAAACAGTGCTAAAAAAACACTGTCTCTATAGCTGCAAAGGCAGCACACGGGGGTGAACGCATGGCATAGCTGCAATGCTTTGCATCATGGTGCAGAAAAAAAATGACCCCCCCCCCCTGTTGCATTCAGCAGGCTGTACTGCCTGCTGACCAAAACCCACTCAACTGCAATGTAGGCGGTTGAGGCATGGTGGTGCAATTTTTCCAACAGAAGTGTACGATTAAAAAACACACGCACATACTCCTCTAGGTGGATGCATCACCCCAATGCTGCATTTGTCTACACCAAGAACTGAGTAATCAAAGACTGCTGATTTCTCAGAACTAGGTCTTCAGTGAGTGGAGAGTGGTGGCTTTCAGTCATTGGCTCTCTATTCTTCCTCTCCAGCACTCACTGGAGTGCTGGGCTGTGGAGGGGCGGAAACGGCTGGCTCAGGCTCTCAGTGGCACTCTGACAGGCTAAGCCAGCTGGCGGACCAGGCATCTGGGCTGGTCCCAACATTAAAGTCTAGACCAGCTGAGTGAAGTCAGCCGACAGCGGACCTTAGCCTGCTGTCAGCTGAATATGGGTAACAGGAGTGCAGAACGAAGTGCACTACTGTGACCTACAAGAGAAGTAGGGCCATAAGAGCTTTGGCCCTACTTTTCCTTTAAGGGGTTAAAATAGGCAGTGAGGAGGTGAAATAGCAACTCTTCGCTGCCTGTCAAACACCCTCTGAAAAGTGATCCACTGCAGATCACTCTTCGCAGGGCAAGGCATGTACAAACGAGCCCTAAGGGTGTGACTAAGGCCCAGAAGGGCAGTATTTCAATATATGAGATCCAGAACTCAAACAATCCCAGTTTAGTAGAAAGTTCAAAACTAACCTCGGAAAGTACAGTTGTGTTCAAAATAATAGCAGTGTGTTGAAAAAAGTGATTAAAGCTCAAAATCCTTCTAATAGCTTTTATTTCCATACACACAAATGCATTGGGAACACTACACATTTTATTCCAAATCAAAACATGAAGAAAAATATATCACATTTGTGTTGTTCCTCTAAAAAAATTGAAGAAAAGTGAATATTAGACGGTTCAATAAAATAGCAGTGTTTGTATTCTTCTTTACAAACTCAAACATTCACTATATAAACTGAAAAATGTTTGAAGATTTTTCTTTCCTTTGAATCACTTAATGAATATTTAGTTGTATAAGCACTGTTTCTGAGAACTGCTGTACATCTGTGTTGCATGGAGTCAACCAACTTCTGGCACCTGTGAACAGGTATTCCAGCCCAGGATGATTGGACTACATTCCACAGTTCTTCTCTATTTCTTGGTTTTGCCTCAGAAACTGCATTTTTGATGTCACCCCACAAGTTTTCTATTGGATTAAGATCCGGGGATTGGGCGGGCCACTCCATAACGTCAATCTTGTTGGTCTGGAACCAAGATGTTGCACGTTTACTGGTGTGTTTGGGGTCGTTGTCTTGTTGGAACACCTATTTCAAGGGCATTTCCTCTTCAGCATAAGGCAGCATGACCTCTTCAAGTATTCTGATGTATTCAAACTGATCCACGATCCCTGGTATGCGATGAATAGGCCCAACACCGTAGTATGAGAAACATCCCCATATCATGATGCTTGCGCAACCATGCTTCACTGTCTTCACAGTGTACTGTGGCTTGAATTCAGTGTTTGGGGGTCGTCTGACAAACTGTCTCCAGCCACTAGACCCAAAAAGAACAATCTTACTTTCATCAGTCCACAAAATGTTGCGCCATTTCTCTTTAGGCCAGTCAATGTGCTCTTTGGCAAATTGTAACCTCTTCAGCACATGTCTTTTTTTCAACAGTGGGACTTTGCGGGGGCTTCTTGCAGATAGCTTGGCTTCACATAGGCGTCTTCTAATTGTAACAGTACTCACAGGTAACTTTAGACCTTCTTTGATCTTCCTGGAGCTGATTGTTGGCTGAGTCCTTGCCATTTTGGCTATTCTTCTATCCATTTGAATGGTAGTTTTTCGCTTTCTTCCACATCTTTCAGGTTTTGGTTGCCATTTTAAAGCATTTGCGATCATTTTAGCTGAGCAGCCTATCATTTTTTGCACTTCTTTATATGTTTTCCCCTCTCCAATCAACTTTTTAATCAAGGTACGCTGTTCTTCTGAACAATGTCTGGAACAACACCCATTTTCCTCAGAAATTTCAGAGAGAAATGCACTGTAACCAGCATGTACAACATTTGCTGCCTTCCTTCCTTAAATAAGGGCAATAATTGCCACCTGTTTTTCAAAGAATGAGTGACCTCACTAATAGAACTCCACACTGCTATTATTTTGAACATGCCCCTTTCAATTAGTGATTCAATTGCACAGAATCAGCAGCATGCATGTCATGACTGTTGGGTCTGTTGGATTTCTATTACTCTACTACACCTGCTAGTAAATTATTTGCCATGTAGAAATATCATTTCTACCAAAAACAGTGATTGATCAGGTTAGTGATGTCTGACTGCTATTATTTTGAACACAACTGTGTTTATTTAGCGAAAAAGAGAGACTCATTAAATGTTAAAACAAACACAAAGAAAATAAAGAAATACACAATTTAAAAAAATACCCCTGAAACCCCTGAAAAATAACCCCACACCATAATCCCCCTCCACCAATCTTTATACTTGGCACAATGCAGTTAGGCAAGTACCGTTCTCCTAGCAACTTCCAAATCCAGACACATCCATCAGATTGCCAGACAGAGAAGTGTGATTCTTCTCTCCAGAGAACACGTCTCCACTGCTCTAGAGTCCAGTGGCGGCATGCTTTACACCACTGCATCCGACACTTTGCCCTGCACTTGGTAATGTAAGACTTGGAAGCAGCTGCTCAGCCATGGAAACCCATTCCATGAAGCTCTCTATGCACTGTTGTTGTGCTAATCTGAAGGCCACTCAAAGTTTGGAGGTCTTTAGATATTGACTCTGCAGACAGTTGGCTGATCGGTGTAAAACAAAACACTTTCAATGGTATATTTAACAGATAGAAAGGGGACATGCAAGAGTTCACTCATAGGCTTTACATACACTATAAAGAAGAATAATCACAGTATTTTGTCTTTACTTTAGTGAGTTCCTGATGAGGAAAAGAACATGCAGTAGTTTGTCCAATCGCCCTAAGTGCTCTGTAAAACTGGCCATACATTATGCAATTTTCTTGTTAAATTTCCTTTAGATTTACCTTCGGCTATGTAGTGCAAGGGCTGCCTGACTGCTGATTGCATACAAATTGAAAGTGTTTAGGTTTGAACTCATAATATATGGTTTTGGTAAATCTAAAGGAAAATTGTACAAGAAAATTGTATAATGTATGACCAGCCTAACACTATCTGCGATGTCACAAAGGCAGCCTCCTCCCAACCCCCCTTAGCGCACAGCTACCACACACTATAGCTGGAATGGAGAGAGCTGGTTTGCTTTGTAACACTCTTCCCAAGCTCCCTGACCTGCCCAATGCAAGCACTGGCAAGAGGAATGCAGAGGATTGTGAGATGTATCAGCCACTCCTCCCTCTGCATTCCTCTTGCCAGTGCTTAGAGCAGAAGACAGAAGCTACAAAGCAAAGCAGTCTTCTTCCTGTTATCTGGGGTAGTGGTTGGCCATGACCCAAGGTGAAGTGTTACGGGGCACCTAGGGAGAAACATACTACTTATGCTTTGTTCCATCAGGAACGCAATGAGTTATAAAAAATTGAGATAATTCTTCTTTAACCTATCAGTTAAAAATCCAAGGACATATTGTTTATTTTTTATCAAATTTATATTATTAGTAATTACTTTTTATTTTTACTATTCCAGATAACATCACAAGAGCATTGTGTGAAGATGCCAACACCCAACAAAGTAGAAAACATATACTGATATTTGCCACCGCCAGAAGTGGGTCGTCTTTTCTTGGTCAGCTGTTTAACCAAAATCCTGATGTCTTTTACTTGTTCGAGCCCCTTTACCTTGTCCAGTATACACTTGCAAACAGACACCCTGCCATAGATAGGCGATCCCTTCTTGGAGCCTATAGGGACTTGCTTCAGAATCTGTATGATTGTGACTTTTATTTACTTGAGAACTATATCAAACCAACACCCAAGGATCATGTGGCATTGTCATTTTTTAGACATGGAGCAAGTAACGCCTTGTGTTCACCACCTGTGTGTGAACAGTTAGAAAGACTTGAAGAAAACATATGCTCAAAGAAGTGCCAAAGGATAAACTTGACTTTGGCTTCCACTGCTTGCCGGTCATATAAATATATGGCCATAAAGACAATCAGGATTCCAGAGATTGATCATCTGAGGACACTTGCAGAGGACCCTCGTCTAAACCTTAAAATTATTCACCTGGTCAGAGACCCCAGAGCTGTCCTAGCCTCAAGGATTAGTACTTTTGTAGACCAATATAGGCTTTACCAAATTTGGAACTCATCTGGCAAAATGCCACATAACATAGACCTGAACCTCATCAAGAACATGTGTATTGATTACAGTAAGTCAGTAGAGACGGCCTTCAGTAGACCTTCTTGGCTAAAAGGCAGATACATGCTAATCCGATATGAAGACCTTGCCAGAGATCCAGTAAAGAAAGCCAATGAGATCTACAACTTTGTTGGCTTAGAATGGAAAGACAATCTCACTGCATGGATCGAGGAGAACACCAATGCTTCTGTTCCCTCTAACGTGAACAAATATACGACAAACAGAAACTCATCAGAGACTGTTGAAAATTGGAGACTCCATCTGCATTTCAACATTGTCCAAGCTGTGCAGGATATATGCAATAAAACTTTATCCCAGTTTGGATATCTTTTAGTAGACTCCATACATCAACTGAAAAACCTCTCTCAAACCCTCATTGAACCAAGGGTATTTTTACCATTTATTTAAAAAATTGGAAAGAGGACCAAAAAATCTGTTAACTAGGATTTAAAACCAACGAAAGGCTACAGTGAAAATATAGGACTTGCAAAGTAACAAGATATAAAGAGAGCAAGCTAAAGCAGCTAAAGAAAATTAATTCTCAGTTTATGAATTGTGCATAGAACAGCGCCTTTCAAGTGAAAAAAAAAAGTTTCAATCACTTTAATATAAATAAGAGATGACTTCCTTTTTAAATTAAATTATATTTCCTATTTCTGTGTAAATGTGTTCTTTGATTAAAAAAAAAATAAGAAAATCCTTTACTATATGATTTACAGATGGAGAAAATAGTTTCATATTTTTTTTCTTTTATGTTAATTAGAACAGGAATCTTAAAAAATGGTTTGTAAAATTTTAATTAATTTACATTGATTTTTTTTCTTATCATTTTTTTCCTTTGTGATATAATCCTTTTTTTTTCTTTAAAGAAGATCTCTAGTTTATTGGAAAAACAGAATATTGCTATGAAGTAAGGAGCTGTTGTGTTAAAAAAAATGCAACTGAGTTTCTTCCTGTCAAAGTAGGGAAGCAGGTGCAGTCCCGAGCTTAAAATATTTTTGTTCCTTGCCCATGCAGGGTAAAGACAAGAAGATTATTTAACTCCCCCCCCCCCCCCCCCCCTCTCAGGTGCACATAGTTGTCTTCCCATGACACTTCCATCTGTTTGGCTACCAGAAACAGCAAACCTGATACCTCTAGGTATGTAAGAGCATATGATTTACTCCTTTATCTCCCATGTGACAGCACTGATGATTGGCCATCCAACACAGTCACATTGGGACAGACATAAAGTCTGAAACCCTGTGTAAAGCCCTTTCTTCTCCTTTTCTCAGGGGCTAAGTAGAGTGGCAGTGGAATTAAAAAAAAAGGTATGTATCTTATGCTAGGGAGTGAAGTAGTAAAGTATATCTAAACCCTTTTTTTTAGTTTTGGTTCTTTTTTGCTGTCCCTGCTAGTACTGTGCACCTCTGGTGCTGTATTACTTATATTAGAACAATTGTGTACTCACCTGTCCAGGATTCAGTGAGATAGGGCTAACTAGATCAACTGACCACTTGTCAAAATCTTCCCAGCCAAGCCCATGTATACACTCCCAATCCCATTCATTCCAACAGAGAGTTATTCATGCTCAGAACTCCAAAGCAATGAACAGGTTTGCAGGCCCAGCCAAGGAGGTTTTGCCAAGTGGCTGGGAGATCTAGCCAGCAATATCTCGCTAGAATGAGGGCAGGTGATTATAAAACTAGTAGTAGGGTGGGAGGATCCTCTGACAGTTAAAAAAAAAACTCCAGTGAGATGTTTTTCTTTTTGGTTTTGAATAGAGAGGGAAAGCTTTAGAAATGCTGTCTGTCAATGGAGAGATTTTATATGACAGGAAATAAAAGGAAACCTTTCCCAAAATAAAGGAAATCCCACCAGAAAAGGTGTTCCCATTGGTAGAATTACCCCGCCTACTCCAGTTCTGGTGACAGCTCTAAATCTTTAAATTTTACTTTCTAGATAAAAAGTATTAGTTAATTTTCTGAATGAAGTTACAGACAGCAATAAAACATGAAAGAGTTGGTTCTAAACTTTCCTGGCGCTACCTAAAACAAAGAAAAAAAGTATTGGAGATCCACTTCAAATTATCATGTTAGAAGTCTCTGCTTCAATATAATCTGTGTCTCCTCAGTCTGCAATACATGATGTTGAATGACATGACAGGTTAAGTTATAGAAAAGAAAGGAAGTCTTCATAGAAACTTTTTTTTCGTTTTTTAAATTGTGCACTAAGCCAGCCTTTTTCAAAAATTTCAACACAGAGGAACCCTTGAAACAACTTTCTGGTCTTGGGGAACCCCTATATCTAAAATTCATAATACAATAGTGCAGGGCTCAAAATTTCCACTCACCTGCTCGCATTTGGCAAGTGGAAATAACGTGGGGCTGAGTGTGTCCACTTAGGACACCAGGATAGGAGGGGCTGCTGACATTCCTCCGGTGCCTCTTCCTCCCCCTTGCTCACCGTTAGTGTTTTGCCCCTCTCTCCCTTCTCCCCCACAACTGCGCCTCATCCCTTCCCTCTACTTATTTTTCCTGCATGTTGGTCCGGGCTCGGTGCTCTTGTGGATCCCAGACCTTCACCCAGACCTTAAAGGATTCTGCAAAACAGACAAGACTAGGTTAAAGTGACACTCAGGGTTGGTTCACATACAGTCACGTCCATAAATATTGGGACATCAACACAATTCTAACATTTTTGGCTCTATACATCACCACAATGGATTTGAAATTAAATGAACAAGATGTAATTTAACTGCAGACTGTCAGCTTTAATTTGAGGGTATTTACATCCAAATCAGGTGAACGGTGTAGGAATTACAACAGTTTTGCATATGTGCCTCCCACTTTTTAAGGGACCAAAAGTAATGGGACAATTGGCTTCTTAGCTGTTCCATGGCCAGGTGTGTGTTATTTCCCTCATTATCCCAATTACAATGAGCAGATAAAAGGTCCAGAGTTCATTTCAAGTGTGCTATTTGCATTTGGAATCTGTTGCTGTCAACTCTCAAGATGAGATCCAAAGTGCTGTCACCATCAGTGAAGCAAGCCATCATTAGGCTAAAAAAACAAAACAAACCCATCACATAGATAGCAAAAAACATTAGGCGTGGCCAAAACAACTGTTTGGAACATTCTTAAAAAGAAGGAACGCACCAGTGAGCTCAGCAACACCAAAAGACCCGGAAGACCACGGAAAACAACTGTGGTGGATGACCGAAGAATTCTTTCCCTGATGAAGAAAACACCCTTCACAACAGTTGGCCAGATCAGGAACACTCTCCAGGAGGTAGGTGTATGTGTGTCAAAGTCAACAATCAAGAGAAGACTTCAGCAGAGTGAATACAGAGGGTTCACCACAAGATGTAAACCATTGGTGAGCCTCAAAAACAGGAAGGCCAGATTAGAGTTTGCCAAACGACATGTAAAAAAGCCTTCACAGTTCTGGAACAACATCCTATGGACAGATGAGACCGAGATCAACTTGTACCAGAGTGATGGGAAGAGAAGAGTATGGAGAAGGAAAGGAACTGCTCATGATTCTAAGCATACCACCTCATCAGTGAAGCATGGTGGTGGTAGTGTCATGGCGTGGGCATGTATGGCTGCCAATGGAACTGGTTCTCTTGTATTTATTAATGATGTGACTGCTGACAAAAGCAGCAGGATGAATTCTGAAGTGTTTCGGGAATATTATCTGCTCATATTCAGCCAAATGCTTTAGAACTCATTGGACACCGCTTCACAGTGCAGATGGACAATGACCCAAAGCATACTGCAAAAGCAACCAAAGAGTTTTTTAAGGGAAAGAAGTGGAATGTTATGCAATGGCCAAGTCAATCACCTGACCTGAATCCGATTGAGCATGCATTTCACTTGCTGAAGACAAAACTGAAGGGAAAATGCCCCAAGAACAAGCAGGAACTGAAGACAGTTGCAGTAGAGGCCTGGCAGAGCATCACCAGGGATGAAACCCAGCGTCTGGTGATGTCTATGCGTTCCAGCCTTCAGGCTGTAATTGACTGCAAAGGATTTGCAACCAAGTATTAAAAAGTGAAAGTTTGATTTATGATTATTATTCTGTCCCATTACTTTTGGTCCCTTAAGAAGTGGGAGGCACATATGCAAAGTGTTGTAATTCCAACACTGTTCACCTGATTTGGATGTAAATACCCTCAAATTAAAGCTGACAGTCTGCAGTTAAAGCACACCTTGTTCATTTCATTTCAAATCCATTGTGGTGGTGTATAGAGCCAAAAATGTTAGAATTGTGTCGATGTCCCAATATTTATGGACCTGACTGTAGATTCGGTGCATTTTTTCTGCCAGTTTCAGTGTGATTTCAAGGGGCAGTTGTTCAGTGATTCAGGTGTGGTTCTAATGCGATTTGGCAGCATTCTCAGTCAGTCTCTCTCTCTCTTGACATGAACCAGGGATGGGATATAAGGAACAAAGCAAAGACTTGCAGAAAAGTACTTGAATTGTGTTACTCTACGACAGATTTATTTATTATTTATTTCAGGTATTTACATATATATTGTACATTCACATCAGTCCCTAACCCTCAGATAAGTGTTTTCTATTCAAGTTCATGAAGCTGTAAATCACACCGCACTGCACTAAACACGTACAGGACCCTTTTCAACATGGCATCGGAATTGCACTGTGTGAACGGTTTCCATAGAAACCCGTTATTTCACTTATCATGCGATTCCATGAGTCCATCAGAAATCGCACTAGTGTGAACCAGAGCTAAATGATATCCTTATTCGAGAAAAAAAAAACAATACACACCCACTATTTAATGGCCCTCTAAGCTATTTTTTATGAAACTTTCTGTTTTCTGTTTTTTTTTCTGTCTCTTGTAGCATTCTACATGAGCTCATGAACCTGTTCTTTTCCCTCTCACTTGTTTGGAACAAGCAGGGCACATTAATTGTGGTTATGTGCACTGCTCTATGCACACTACAATTGCATAGTCCATAGTTCCTAGTCCATATTGGGAGCAAGCAAGAGTGGGTGGCTATGTTTCTACATACAGTGAGACCATGGAGAACAAAGCAGGAAAAAAAAACAGAATTACAGAAGTACTTTTTAGAATCACAATACTTTTTTGAAGCAAGAATACATATTTGAACAGATTTTTTTTAACAGAGATTAGTTTCACTTTAAGGTTTGACAGAGACAAGGAGGGGGCATACAGGTGGAATAATTGGTGTGACACCTTTTTACCAATGAATAAGATGTGATGGGACTCTAAAACAAAGGGGCCAAGCCAATATATGTTTCTTGTTGGTACCTAAAGCCAGATATCTCCACACCCAACTGAAGAAAAATGAGCCCCACTACATACTTTTGGAGATACTTGGGACCCTTACTCTAGGCAAAAAGCATTTTAAATTTGATGGTACACCGTCCTGGGCTGTT